TTTCACATCATTGGTTCAACTGGTTTCCAGGTATTTTACATACATTGTTAGCTACTAGATGAGGGGTTTTCTAAATTTCATTTTCAGACTGTTAGATGTTGACATATATCGATGTTAAGGATCATCGTACATTGTCGTTGATATTATACAACTCTAAAGAATTCATGGATCAGTTTTAACAGTTTTGTGGTGAAATCTTTAGGTTTTTTTAAATATAAGATTAAGCCATATGCATGCAAGGTTAATTTGAATAATTCCTTTCCAATTAGGATCATCTCCAGCCCCAGCCCCATTTCTCCCCTTTCTGGCTCTGGCCACCGCTCCTCTCCCCCTCCTGGATCCCAAGTCCGCACCTCTCCATGGTGTAAGCCAGTGTCCCCGAATCAAGGCCAGATGCCCCCCCCAACTCCGCCACCGCGCCTCAGGATCTGGCTCGGACCAAAAGGGCATTGATGGTAGCCGAAGCCGCTGCGGGACCCTAGCCCCACCCGCCCAATGGCTGAACTCCTGGGACCCTGAACTCCGCTAGCGGCGCGCCCGCGTGGCGCACGGCCCTGCGCGCACTCGCAGGCTCATGCCCGTCCTATGTGGCCTCTCCCCTCCAGTGGCCCCTCTCAGGCAAGCGCTGCTGCGGACTGGATGGGCTACCTGGTCTGTGTCGCCTCTCCAGAATGTTGGGCCAGCTGAGGCTGCAAAAAAGACCAGGCAGAGAGCCTAGGCAGGGAGGCTACTGAAACTGAATAGGAAAACTGCAGCCTCAGGAACTCCAGAGAGCTGGACATTGGGAAGCATCCTTGGCTCATAAGCAGTGGGAGAGCGCTGCCACTTTCCCTCACACACATCCAGGAACCCTCAGTTTACAAAGTACAGGCCTATCTGGGAGTATCCCAGCCATTCACGTTTGTGGATCCCTTCCAGTGGAGCAGCGATAGTGCCAGATGTTCCTTTTTCTTTTTGTTTATTTGGTTTTTGTTAGGTTTAGGTTTTGAGTTGAAGTCACTCTGTTACCCAGGCGTGGAGTGCAGTGGTACAATCACAGATCACTGCAGCCTCGACCTCCTGGGCTCAGGCAATCTTCTGGCCTCCCTCTCCCGAGTAGCTGGGACTACAGGTATATGCCACTATGTCCAGCTATTTTTTTAGGGGGGGGGAGTATAGAGACAAGGTCTGCTGTGTTATAAACACTAGGCTAGTCTCCTGGCCACAAACAATCCTCCTGCCTTGGCCTCCCAAAGTGCTGGGATTACAGGCAGGAACCACCGTGCCCAGCAATGTTTGTTTTTCATAATCAACATCACCCTGTGGGTATGTGAGGTTCAGAGAGATTCATTCACTTGTTCATTAATTCACTCACAATAAATAACTTTGGAGCATACGTTATACACCAGAAACTGTTCTGGGCATTGGGAACTTACTTCTGAGCAAGAAGTAGGAAGTTCCTGAACAGGGAGTTTGTTGTTGTTTTTATGGGTATCGAGTTTTAGTTTTGAAAGATAAAAAGTTCTAGAGACTAGATGCACAGCAATATGAATGTACTTACTAAATTACTGCTGAACATACTAAATGTAAGTACTGAATATACAATATGATAGCAAATGTTAATTCGTGTTTTACCACAGTTTTTAAAAATTTGTTAATAGCAAAATCCTGACCCTCATAGGTCTTACACTACCATGTAAGAAAAGGAGAAAGAGTGGTAAAGATAAAGTCACTTGAAATCGCCTAGCTAAGTGCCCCATGGGTGAGCACAGACACAACATGACAGGGTGTGCTCTCCCTCCTCCCTTACTTTCTCTGAGGGGGTAAAGAGCCAGAGACAGAGTCACATTCAATCGGAAGTGGGAGGAGGGGCTTAGATGTATGCCAGGGACTAGAAGTCTGCCATGGACATTAAGGCATGTCCCAGGGGCCCCCGGCCATCTCTGCCTCCCATTCTGTTCCCACTCCAGATCCAGGACTGAGCTCTCGGCACCATGAACCCAGCTATCAGCATCGCTCTCCTGCTCACAGGTATAGTGGCCAAGGGGCAGAGCTGGGATTCCAGGCATCTGCTTCCTGTCCTTCAAGAGGCTAGAAACTAGCTTCTCCCTCACAGCCTCAGAAAAGTAGAGGCAAATGGGGGAAAGAGGGCTCTTTTAACATCCCAAAGTCATCCAGCCTACCTAGCTGATTCTCTGACAGCCTGAGCTGGTTTTTAGAAACAGTTTGCTGAGGCCTGCCCCAAATGGGAACTAGGAACCTGCATAACTCCCCAAGATCTCCTGCCCTTGAAGCAATGATAAGACCCAGGGCTTGAGTAGTCTAGGGAGGGAGGTTGGGGTCTATAGGGGGAAAGTTAGACTGGTTCTCTGGAGTGAGGAGAGGCACTCAGGGAGCAGAACCCTGTGGCCTCCCTAGCCAGGCCTGTCTCTACTCTTTATGTGGGTGGGAGGCCCCCTGCTCTGTAGACTTCCTCCAATTTGAAGGGGGCACTGCTGGTGCCAGTCTTGCAGGTATGCCAAGGGCAGACGGTGACCAGCCTAACAGCATGCCTGGTGGACCAGAGCCTTCGTCTGGACTGCCGCCATGAGAACACCACCAACTTGCCCATGCAGTACGAGTTCAGTCTGACCCGTGAGACAAAGAAGCATGTGCTCTTTGGCACCATGGGGGTGCCGGAGCACGCGTACCGCTCCCGAACCAACTTTACCAAAAAGTATAACATCAAGGTCCTCTACTTATCCGGCTTCACCACCAAGGATGAGGGGATCTACACGTGTACACTCCACCTCTCCGGCCATGCTCCCTCCTCCCAGAACGTCTCTGTGCTCAGAGGTGAGGCAAGCCCCTTATGAGGCCAAGTGAGCTGGGAGAATTACGCTGAGGACAGCAGGCAGCTCCCTTGGCTGGGCCAGAGAGGAAAGCACCCCCATAGCCCCCTCGCCCTCTCCCAAGATGGCTGCCTAGTCCTCTGGGGAACCACTGCCTTCAGTGGGAATGGGGTGAAGAATTCAGGGCCAGTCAGACAGGCAGAGATGGATGTGTAGTAGATGTTTGATCATGACCGCTGGCAAGTTACTTGTCCTCCCCAGTCCTCCTCCCCTCCTGGAAAATAGGGATGACACCACCTCCCTCACCCACAGTTTTCTTGTAATGATGTTTAGTAAGGTTTTCATAAGATGTGTGTTCAAGGGCTCGGTGATCTGCAAATGGGAAAGACGGATGGTTCTATTATACCAGGTTGGTTCTGGTTCCAGCTAAGATATCATGGCACCAGCCTCCCAAAGGCAGTCCACCCTTGCTTTGAGCCTGTGCCCATCTGAGTCCTTGTCCTTCTCCCTTTCTGCCCTACCCTTCTCAACCCATTTTCTCTCCACAGACAAATTGGTCAAGTGCGAGGGCATAAGCCTTCTGGCTCAGAACACCTCATGGCTGCTGCTGCTCCTGCTCTCGCTCTCCCTCCTCCAGGCCACGGATTTCATTTCCCTGTGACTGGTGGGGCCTATGGAGGATACAGGAAGCCACAAGTCCCAGTGCAGAGTTTCTGCTTCTCTGAGTCGGCTGACCCCCTCCCCGCAGTCCCTCACACACGTTGGGGAGAAATGGGGACCCCACCCTCATCAGGAGTCCCAGTGCTGCATGCCATCATCCACCCACCCCCACTGCCACCTCGCCCTCTCCGCACACCTCTGGCTGTCTTTTTGTACTCTTTGTTCCAGAGCTGCTTCTGTCTGGTTTATTTAGGGTTTTATCCTTGCTTTCCTTTGGGGGTTCGTGAAAAGGGAAGCCAGGTTTAGGGACCTGATGGAGAGTTGGAGCATGTGAAAGGTAGCAGGATGGAGGGTACCAGCCACTAGGGCTCATCCTTGCGCACCGAAACCAGAGGCCTGGGAGAGACCTGGATGAGGAGGGGCTGGGGTGTGTCTGGGCCTAGCACAGACATAGTCTGTGCTTAGAATACTCCTCAGCAGGCAGGCCTGGTGCCTGAAGACCCCAGATGTGAGGGCACCATGAAGCATTTGTGGCCCATCTTGTGAGGGAGAGAGCTGGCTGTCATCAGGAGCATTCTCAGCCACAGCAAAAAAAAAAAATCCCTCCTCTTACCACGCAGAAGTCCCCTAGGGACCTTGGGCCAGGGACATGACCCAGTGAAGATACAGATTTGGTCAGGGGAGCTGCACTGATGGAGGGTTGGAGACAAGCATAGAAGGTGACGGGCCAGCATCCCTGTCGACCTAAGGAAGCTAAAAGCGTCAGCTTGCTGTTCCTCACCGCCTCAACCAGAGAAGGACAAGCCCCACCCAGGCTATCCCAAGCTCCCAAGAGCTTCCAGAAGTTTGACTTGGAGCCACTGAGTCAAGTGGCTCCAAAGAGTGGAGTCCCAGAGCGAGGCCCAAGTTCCTGAGAGAGGCTCTTCCTTCCCTCGCCCATCAGTGCCAGCCCCTGCTGGCTGGTGCCTAAGCCTCTCAGGCAGCCCCCTGCCCCGCAGGCCTGGCTTCTCAGGGACCTCTGGGGGGGCCTGAGGCAGACCATGGAGTGACACCTGGGAGCAAGACACTTCTCAGGAGATGGCTTTTCCCAACCTCCAGCACCCCACCCGGCAGCTCTGCCTATCCTGTGACCATGTGTAGTGCCACCACAGTTTACAGCATCTCATTGAGGAAAAAGAAAAACTGCACAATAAAACCAAGCCTCTGGAATCTGTCTTTGCACCTGTCACGGCTTTTCTCCTCCGGCAGTGTCCAGGCCTGCCTACCCGCTTAGCTGGGCATCTCCATCGACCATGCTGTGGGATGCCACCTCTTCCCCGCCTTCTCCCCTCCCACCTGCAGCATCCCTGCCCTCAGGAGCAAACCACTGCATGCTGGGCTTTTCTAGAATAACCCTAACAAGACACATGCCCAAATAAAAGAATATTCCATGTCTGTTGACTCACCTGGCCGGAACAACAGACTCACCTGCCAACACATGGGCCGAGCCACGTGGCCTTGGCTCTGGAATACACAAGTGGCTTTGTGTGACAAACGCTGAGGTGTGCGGTCTGTTTTTCTTCTCAGCTCTGGTTGTTCTTCAGAGATGTCCCTGCCAGTCACATATGCTATTGAAAGGGCAAGAATGGGAGGAGGGTTCGGTGGGGTTCCACGTCATCAAGGCATCACTTCTTAGATCCAAAACATCAGCAGAAGAAAGTACCTGGGATGAACACTGTCCCCTTGGGAGTTGGGAGGGAAGCTCCATCACTGGCTTCTCCTCTAAAAGTAATGAGTAAAATGCAAACAAGCTTCAGGGATCATCCTGAGGCCAGAGGTAGAACAGGATCACAGGGTAGTGATGGGTTCCAGATGCTGTCAGAGTTAGTGAGGCAGCCCCAAGCTAGCCTTCCCTGCTTTGCCAGGGAATTGGGGGAGGAGGGTGATGACTGCCCAGAGGCTGACTCATCTGGTATTTAGCACTGGGTAGGATGATTCTGAACATTTTTCTTAAAGGCTCCAGATCTAAATTTATGCCAGCAGCTCCCACTCTGGCTACCTCTCATGGAATCCTGCCTTGTCTGCAACCCCTGCAGCTACTGGGCCCAAAGAGGATGGGGGGAGCCCACAAGGAGAAACTGCCCCTGTCCCAGACTGTGAGGCTGTTGACCAGCCTAGAGCTCTCCGGAGGAAGAGACCCTGAGACACTAGCCCCTTCCTGTTCAGCCCTGCTTGGGCTGCAAGCACCATGCCTTCCTGGAAAGGAGTCTTGGTAAGAAGAGTCATTGTAGGAAAATAAGATCAAATTCCACAAAAGTGTGGGAGCCCCACCCCCAGGATATTAAGAACTAGAGATGGCCGGGCTTGGTGGCTCAGCCTGTAATCCCGTGCCTTTGGGAGGCTGAGGTGAGTGGATTGCCTGAGCCCGCGGGTTCGAGATCCGCTTGGGCAGCGAGCCCTCATCTCTACAATAAAATCAAAAAATTAGCCGGGCGTGATAGCACACGCCTGTAATTCCGGCTACTCGGAAGGCTGAGGCAGAAGGATTGCTGGAGCCCAGCAGGTCGAGGCTGTGGTGGCCGGGAGCGGCCACTGCACTCTAGTCTGGGCGACAGAGTGAGACTCCAACTCAAAAAAAAAAAAAAAAAAAGAACTAGAGATGTGAGGTCTTTCTGGGAAGAACTGGGAGGCCCTGTGTGAGCCTCAGAGGGCAGTGTGAGGCCCTGGCCTTGGTGACAACTCCTATGTGGTTTTCGTCACACCCTGGCACTGTTTCCCTGAAGAGTTTAGCAGCCATACCTTAGAAGGGTGCTAAGGAGATGGTGTTGCCCCCAGCAGGCATGCTTAGTCGAGCAGAATCTGAGGCAGGCCTAGAGTGGGTGGGGTGAGCTTAAGAAGCCACAGAGGTCGCCACAGACCACGGACTTCAGGAAAGGAGAGGAGGGGACTAAGCTAGCAGGCCTCAACATGTAAACCTACCCAGAAAGGCCATGCTGTGGGCCAGGGGTGCTGCAGGCTTCCAGCAGGCCGCGACAGCCATCAGCCCCTCTCTGATCAAGTCAGCAGATTTTGTGTAGCCTGCAGGACGTCTGTGGTGACTTGGGTAATTGGAGAGGGCTGGGGCCAGCCCTAGTTCCTGTACACATACCCAAACCCCACTCCATCCAGTCCCTCACAGTCCTCACTTCTCCCCTGGGTCACCCTTCAGCCATCTGAGTCCTGGCCTTGGGGCATGGAATTCCTGCTCAAGAGGAACAGAAGCCCTTCTCTGTACCCCCATTTCTGGATCGAATTGTTCACTGAAACAGATGATATGTACATCTCTGACATCAGAGGACTTCCTCAGAAGGGCAAGGTGATCTCCATGAGGAGATGTGGGGGCTTTTCACAACCTAGAAATCTACACAGTGTCAGGGACCTGTGACACGCTTCTTCCGGCCTCCTCAGCGTTGATGTTCACTTCCTCTCTGAATTTGCAGCTTTCATGCTGTGAAGAGGCATGTCTGTCTTTACATGTGAAAGAAACAAATCCCAAGTCAAGAGTAAATTGTCTCCTCATTTCCTGGTGAGAAAATGTTGGAGCTGGAGTCCTGGCCAGGGCTTGAAGACAAAGGTGGGACAGCCTTCTAGCCTGTGACCCTTGGTCTAGGGCACTCTCAGGCCCAGAATGTCCCCCAGTCCTCAAGGAGAAACATGTCCTGTGCAGAATCATGGGCGGTGCCTTTGCCTGGCACAGAGAAGACTGCGAAGGGGGACACATTATACGGAGGGTGGTGTGGAACCAGTGGAGAATTTCAGAGGCCAAGTGTCTCCACACCAGGAAGAGACTGTGACGGCTGTAGCTGCCCAACAGTGTGTGTGTAGCGGGGGGAATGGGTGTGGGCGTGGCCGTGACCAGGTGGAAGCCACCTGCCAGGTATGCAGTAGAGCTGCTTCTTGAATTTGGCGGGAACATGGACTAGATGGCACTTGTCTCTATCCCCTTCAGGGCCTCACATCAGTAATTCTTAAAACAAGCTGGCAAGGCTGAAATCATTTATTTGTACGACAAACATTAAACACCTGATGCACCTGGCTCTGTGCTAAGCAGTAAAATACACAGCCCTTGCTGAAGGACTCCACAGTTTAGTAAGAAGGCGGAATTGATTTCAGTGCAGTGATCAGTGCTATGACACAGGGAAGCTGTGGCAGACACCATTGGGGGTCAGGGGACTCAACATGCATTCTCCTCTTCTTTCTCAGCAATGGGACCCACAAGTTAGAACTGGACTATGTGGCCCAGGATAAAGACTGTATTTCCCAATTTCTTTGCCATGGTTAACTTCTGTTCCATGGGATATGAACATGAAATAATAGGTGTGATTTCTAAGACGTGCTCTAAAAGAAAGAAATTGTGCCTCTCTCCTCCCTTTCACCTTCTGCTAGCTGGAAATATGGAGTTGATGGCTGGCACTGGAGCAGTTATTTTGGACTATGAGTTGGAAGCTGTGTGCTATTAATATAAATGACCAAGCACAAGCTAGGAGCCTGGGTCCTTGGTGACAGTGGAGTTGTCATAGCAGCCATGGACCACCTTGTTTAAACTACTGAGATTTAGGGTCTTCTGCATTCACAGCTAAACCTAAAGCTACTTTTTTAAAAAAGCTGCTGGCCAAGCTCAGTGGCTCAGCCTGTAATCCCACGCTTTGGGAGGCCGACGTGAGTGTATTGCCTGAGCCCACGGGTTCGAGACCCACTTGGGAAACTTGGCGAGACCTCATCTTTACAATAAATCAAAAATTAGCCAGGCATGGTAGCGCGTGCCTGTAGTTCCGGCTACTTGGAAGGCTGAGGTGGAAGGATCGCCAGAGCTCAGCAGGTCGAGGCTGCGGTGGCCAGGAGCGGCCACTGTGCTCCAGTGTGGGCGACAGAGTGAGACTCCAACTTAAAAAAAAAAAAAATAGCTGCTATTCAACACTACTGGACACTTAAAAATGGTTTAGATGGTACATTTTATATGTGCCATTTACCACCATTTTAAAGAAGACAAAAATCAAACGCATAGAGACAAAGTGGAATGATGGTTGCCAAAGCCTGTGGGGACAGTGGATGGGGAGTTATTGTTTCATGGGTATGGAGTTTCAGTTATGCAAGGTGAAAACAGTTCTGTGGATGGGTAGTGGTGATGGTGGCACAAAGGTGTGAATGTATGTAATGCCACTGAACTGTATACTTAAAGATGGTTGAGGTCAGGCTTGGTGGCTCAGCCTGTAATCACAGCACTATGGGAAGCTGAGCAAGTGGACTGCCTGAGCCTGTAGTTTCAAGACCAATCCAGGCAACTTGGTGAGACCTCATCTCCATAATAAATAAAACATTAGCCGGGCATGGTGGCACGTACCTGTAGTTCTGGCTACTTGTAAGGCTAAGGTAGAAGGATCACCGGAGCCCAGCAGGTCGATGCTGGGGTGACCATGAGTGTGCCACTGCACTCCAGCCTGGGCAACAGAGTGAGACTCCAAATCAAAAAAAAAAAAAAACAACGATAGTTGAGATGGCACACTTTATGTTACGTATATTTTACCATAATTTTTTTTTTTTGAGTTGGAGTCTCACTCTGTCACCCATGCTGGAGAACAGTGGCACGCTGCTCACTGCCACCATGGCCTTGGCCTGCTGGGCTCAGGCAATCCTTCCACCTTAGCCTTCCAAGTAACTGGAACCACAGATATGTGCCACCACACCTGGCTAATTTTTTGATTTATTGTAGAGACAAGGTCTTGCCATGTTGCTTAGGCTGGTCTGGAACCCCTGAGCTCAGGCAATCCTCTCGGCTCCACCTCCCAAAGTGCTGGGATTACAGGCTTGAACCACCACACCCAGCTATTTTGCCATAATTTAAAGAAGCCAAAGCACAAGGAGACTTTTTGGGGTGGTTACATGGTCACGTGTCTTTGTCAAAACTCTCCAAACTATAGACTTAAAATAGGAGTATTTCACTGAATGTAAATTATACCCCAACCAAGTGCTATGGGAATACATATGTAGGGCCCGTTTCAGATAAGAGGCTTCCCAGAGGAGAAGTCATGAGAAAGAGCACAAAAATAGGCTCCACTAACTCATAAGCTGATGACAAAAAATGAAAATGTATTTTATTTCTGCTATACCTTGTAAAACTTGGGGAACATGAAAGGAAGCCATTGTGGGTTCATCCAAGAGACTCCCTCTAGGTTAACTCACAACAGCTGGTTGATGTAACAGCTCTCGGAGCATATAGGTCCATTGTCAGAATCCCTGGTCTAGTCAATATTTATTCAAGCAATTATTAAGTGCAAGGTAATGAGAATACAGCAATTAGCTGGGTGTGGTGGTATGCACCTATAGTCCCAGCTACTCAGGAGGTTGAGGAGGGAGGATTGCTTGAGACCAGGGGGAGGTTGCAGGAAGCCAAGATCATGCCACCATTTATATCCTAGTATGAGAGGTGAATGTTAAGGAAGTAAACCAATTAATAAAACAGATAATTATAGACTGGATTCATTTATTCATAAGAGATGATAAAAATGACTGATGTGT